GCGCGCTCGGCGCCCCACCCCCCCCGAACTTCGGCCGATGAGGCCGCTGCAGCTGAACCCCGAGCTGCTGGTCTCTCAAACTCCGCTGCTCCTTGTTTCAGGGCCCCTTGATCAGACGAGCCCCCCGCTCCCCCGTCTCTCCAAAATGGATGAATCAAACCAGCCGAAAATGCGCCAAAGCCACGAAGCAACCAAACCCGCTAGGGTTTGTGCGCCCCGCCCCAAACCGCCCGTTCATTGGCAGTTCCTGCCAGATGCGTTCAGCTCATTAGTTCATTTGAATCATCACGTCGCATTGACCTCGCCCCTCGATTAAGCTCCGCCTCCTCCGTGGGGCTCTTGTTAGTCAAGATGCTCTGAGAGCGCACGGCCGCAAAACAAAAATGGTCGCTGCTCAGCCCGCCCCCTGGCTTCAACTCCAGAGTTGCAGATTCGTATTACGTCGCATCTTAGGACGGCTAGAGAAGAAGATTTATTTATAATTCAGAATCACAGAGTGTTAAGTTTAGTGATATTTCATTTCGTCTGCCTTGATCAACTTGAAACTGATGACGAATGAAACCTGAAGTACAGGCAGCAGATTCGTCACTAAGGGGCTGCTTCAGAATTGGAGGGAAATTGCTTAGGTTCAAAAAATTTTATCTTAAACCCCATAGGCCCCTCCCGCTCGCTTCAGCAAGAGGCCCTGGGGGCCTAACCACGCTACTGGCATAAACAGACAGGATGCTAATCAAGGGATAACTTTACCCCCATTTCCACATTTCTCCATCCTGGACCTTAAGACACACTTTAGGGTGACTGAAGTCTCCAGCACTCAATATTATTATTTCAAAGAAAGAAAGGCATGAGCCTAGTGATTAGGTAGACAAGTTCTGGGGCCATAAGGTATCAGTTCAAACCCCAGGTCACCACTAATTGTTGGATAATTTTTCCCCTCTATGCCTCAAATTTCTCATGCGTAAAATGGGTGGTAAATGTAGCTACCTCATAGGGTTATTAGGAGCTCTGGAGGCTGGCCGTTCAAACCCACCAGCCACTCCTCGGAAAGAAGATGGGGCAATCTACTTCCGTAGTGGTACTGCCTCGGAAACCCAAGGAGGGGTTGCTATGGGTCAGGTCCCACTCGAGGGCACATAACAACAACAACAGCTTCTGGCAGCCCTACGGTAGTATTCCTTGACTTGCCACTAGTCACGTGGCCATTTTTCCTCTGTTTTTCTGTATCTCTTATCCTCTTTTGTAAGGAGTAACTCAGATTGCATTAGGACCCACCCTACCCCAGTATATGAGGCATTAGTGGTTCAGTGGAGGAATACTAGCCTTCCATCTGAGAGACTCAGAGCAGAGGCCAGGCCAAGAGGCCAGGGGCCCAAGAGAGACATGCCTACGGGCATGGCCAAGGGGAGGCTGTCCTGGTTGTAGAATTGTATCTTGAGCCATTCCCAAACCTGAATTGTAACCTGTTACTTACTTAATAAATTCCATAATCATGAGTATTGTCTATGAGTTCTGTATATAGCCATTGCCACCAATTATGAAACCCAGCAGAGAACTAGTAAGTGCCGTTGCAAGGACTGTTGCTGTCAGAATTGGTAAAAAGGTTGGAGGGTGGCGGCATGTCTCACTTTCGCCTCCTAGGAATGAGCTTTGGGCTGTTGCTATTGGTCCTTCTCTCTCCTGCTCCGGAAGTTAGAGGTAGTTAGAGGACTAGGTCGCCCCCATGCCCTTTTTTCAATAGTATACCTTTCTGTGTATAAAAAACATTAAAGAAACACTTCCAGGTAAACTACATCATCTTTAACGTAATAATGCATTAATAATAAGCATTAATAATAACAGTGTTTTTATGTGCATTGCAAAGTAGTGCCTGTTTGTTATTATGAAACATTGTACCTCAAATTTGTAATAGGCTTTACAGGGTTGGTTAATAACTACAGGTTCTACATAAGTTGGACTTTAATAGCGCAGGGACTGCCTGTAAATATTTTACCACATAAAAGCCCACCCTCAAACCTGAGGATTTGTTTTACACAAATAAAAGTAATGACACCTGTGAATATATAAGAAATGTTAAGACTATGTTTTGACTAAGGACAGTCAATAAAGAGCATACTACTAAAAAAAAAAAATCCACAAAAAAAGTATATGGTAAATCTGGAACATTCTTCCCTATCAAGTTACTTTTTAATGGGGCATTGTTGTTAGATGCCGTTGAGTGAATTTTCAACTCATAGTGACCCCATGTAAAGAGTGGACCACCCCTACAAGGTTTTCTAGGCCGTAATCTTTACAGAAGGTCACCATGTCTTTCTCTGCAGAGTTAATCTTTAAGTTAGCAGCCTAGTTAACCATATTGTGCCACCAAAAAAAAAAAAAAAAACCCAAAGTCACTGGATTGAGTTGATTCCGACCCACAGCGACCCCCACTGGGTTTCTGAGGTGGTGAATCTTTACAGAAATAGATTGCCCCATCTTCCTTCCACAGAGCAGCTGGTGGGTTTGAACCTCCAACCTTCTAGTTAGCAGTCAAATGCCTTAGGCACTACACGAGTCTCCTTATTAGAACTCATTTACTTGAGAAGCTGTGGCTGTGAAGAGAAATGCCTCACTCCACATGCATCAGTGATATTTGTCTCTTTGGGCAGAGCTGGGGAACCTACCTGAAGGACTCAGACTCCCAAGGTGGCCACTGACCTCACACGGTAAGGTTGGTACAATCTTCACAATCTGCTAACGTGGAGAACCAGCAGACGAGTTTAATATTAACTAATTTTGAATCTACTCTACAGTTTTACTCTAATATCTAAGTGAACAAAAATGGTTACGTGTTGTTTCAGCCACTATCAATATTCATAAATAAACCAAAAAAACCAAACTCACTGCTGTCGAGTTGATTTCAACTCATAGTGACCCCTCCTTGGGTTTCCAAAGCAGTATTACTACAGAACTAGATTGCCCAACCTTCCTTCTGAGGAGTGGCTGGTGGATTTGAATCATCAGCCTTCTGGTTAGCAGTCAAATGCCTTAGGCACTACACCACCAGAACTCCCATTCATAAATAAGATGGGATAAATAATTTACTGAAAATAAACACATGGCAAACAAACAAACAAAATAGTAGTAGCAGGGCTAGTGTAGTAAGTCTGATGAGTCTTCATATCTCTAATGAAGACCCATTTTCTTCTAGGAGTATGCTACAACAGCAGGGAGCATTATAACAAGTTTTGAGCACTTTGTGCCAGGCACTTCCAGTTACCTGAACTCATGAGAATCAGGCAGTAGATTTATCAGAGACTGTTTCTACTGGCCACAGGAGTACAGAAAGGTACTTCCCTTTGAAGATTCCACCAAGAAGTTAAAAAAGATTCTTCCAGTCTTTTTTTTTTTTTTCTTTCTAACTTTCTACTTCCAACTGCTGGTTCCCTTTGCCTTTCCATTCTCAGAAGAAAGAGCTGTGCCTCTTTGGTTAGTTTCTCTGTGACTCCAGAGGCTGAATAGCCTGGTTGGAGATAAGGTTCATGTTTATGGAGGATGCTCCCTCACTCTCAGGTCACAGACAGAAAAAGGTTCTACCAAAGTTAATTTAAACTTTCAAACTCATTTGCTCAAATAGATATTCCTTCTGTTCCAGCCTTCCACCTCCTCTCTTCTTTAAAGAATGTTAGGAAGTAAGTTTAGGTGAATTTCTGCTACTAAAAAAAGTAAGGATGCACAACTTGACATCCAGCTTAAATTTGAGAAGGAAAAAAAACAAAACAAAGACTAACGTTTGCTCTTCTGCACCACACCAATAAAATTCATAGGAAAGTTGGCCCCTGTAACACTGGAGACACAGTCTTATTTATCTAAACTACTTACAAATACTATGTGTGAACACTGCTGCAAGTGAGGCCCCATGGTGTAACAAAAAGAACATTAAACTTATAATAAAAAATATCTGTCTCTGAGCTCCGTGATTTACTACCTAAGTGACTGTGGTGGTTATGTTGTGTGTCACCTTGGCTGGGCCTGGCTGAGTGGCTGGGCAGCTGCATGTAGTATTCCCCATGATGAGACTGGTAATCAACTCCATGGTGGAATCTACCACAAGCAGCTGAGTAGCTGCCTTGGGGAATGTGGTCTGCTTCCTGTATATAAGGAGAAGCCTTGGAAATGGTCTGTAGCTTATGGCATGCTTAGACCTTGTATGTAGCCGTGTCATTGCTCAGCAGCCTGCTATGCTCTGCCGATCTTGGGACTTATAATAGACTTAAGTTAATGGCCTGCCATGTGGTTTGGTAACATCAGGACTGTGCCTTTTTACTTGTCAACCTTGGGGCTTCTCAGCCTCAGCAGCCAGCAGCTGAGTGAAGAAATGCCTCTAGCTCCAGTGGGCCAGGAGCAGGAGGCAAAGCTGGACCCCAAGGTTGAGGGGCTTTCACCCAGCCCCCAGAGCCTGGCACTTTGAACTTGGACTTAGAGCCTCCAAATTATAAGAATAAACTCCTGTTTGTTAAGGCCATCCCATTTGTGGTATATTTCTCATCAGAGTGGCACTAGGTAACCAGAACAGAGATCTTCAGCAAATTTAAAACTCTCTTGGCTTCAACTCCTTCATCTGTAAATGGGGGAAAAGCAAGGAAACAATTAACTCAAAGGATTAATGGACCACGTGAATCCCAGCCTCCACAACCCTAAGACCAGAAGAACTAGATGGTGCTTGGCTACCACTGCTGGCCACTCTGAAAGGGATCATAATAGGAGGTCCTCGATAGAATGGGAGAAAAATGTGGAACAAAAATCAAAATCATAAAAAGGCCAGGTTTACTGGTTTGATGACAACTGATGGAATCCTCAAGACTATGGCCCTTAGACACCCTTCACACCAGGAACTGAACTCAATCCCTGTGGTTCA